ATCTCGTTTTCAATTGTATTAGTTTGAAATAAAATTTTCAATATAAATATATATATTATGGCTACTATTCATTATGATTTAGTTTATGCCGCGAAAAATAAATCATTTGCATTAATAGAAAATTCTACTGATAATTTGGACAAAAGACATGAATCTAGAAAGAATTTCTTACAAAAGACGAAAAATCAGAAGCGATAAAGTTATTGAATGAAATTCATGATCTTAATAAAGTCATTCTTAATGTAGGAGAAAAAAGGATATGTGAAAATTGCAAACAAGAATGTTTGGCAACGACATATTGTGAAAATTGCATTCGAAAATATTTGAAAGCAAAATTTTCAAAATGGACGTCAATATTGATAATTTAATACGGAAATGTCAAATGGAAACTAATAGACCAGATAAAGTAATTGAATGGATACCATATAATAATTTGCAGAATATTAAATATTTGACTCAAGGCGGGTGCTCTGAAATTTATTCAGCCAAATGGATTGAGGGGTGTTAAAAGAAGAGAATTAAAAAGATTAGGAATATGTAACGTGATCCTAAAAAAGTTAAAAAAAATTGAAAGTGCCGATAAAAATTGGTTTGAAGAGGTAAATCTTTTTTAAAGCATTATTTTTAATTGTGTAATCGTTATATACCATAAATTTTTTATATTACAATTAGGCAGAATCACATGTAACGCTAAGTAGCAAATGGAATAGTTTTGTTTACTGTTATGGTTTAACTCAAGATCCATCCAGTAAAGAATATTTTCTTGTAATGTATAAAATGTACACAGATTTAAGAAATTATCTACGAAATCATCAACAAATTACATGGAAAGAAAAAATAAAAATTACTCATAAAGTCATCGATGCACTTAGAAAAATTCATTGGGAAGATGCGATTCATAGGGATTTGCATTCTGGAAATATATTACTGTATATTCTCAACATTATGATTCATGGTATATTAGTGACCTTGGAATTTATGGACCTGCTGATAAGCCATTAAAATGCACTTATGGAAACCTTCCTTATATAGCTTCTGAAGCTATTGCTGAAAAGGAATGTACCAAAGCATCTGATGTTTATAGCCTTGCAATGATTATGTGGGAAATTTCATCCGGAATATCACCATTTAATGATTTTGAAAATGATTATGAATTCGCAATGAATATTGTAAAAGGAATGAGACCAAAAATAGCATCAGGTATTCCTTTAGAATATAAAGACTTGATGGAACAATGTTGGAATGCTGATCCATCACAAAGACCCGATATTGGCGTAGAAAATATTTGAAATGAATAAATTATACTATGAATCAAAAGATGAAAAGAAAAGTATTATTAAAAAGTTCTTAAAGAAAATTAATTTATCTCAACAAAAATCAAATGATAATACAGAAGTTAATAACCTAAATAAAAATTATACAAGTAGCAGCAGATTATTCACAAGTAAAATTTATAAATTCGAAAATTTTCCTGAACCAAGGTAAAATTTTTAACAAATAATTTTTATGAATTATCACAATATATCACTTATATTTTATTCGTATTTAATAAAAACAGAAGAGCAAGAAGGTATTTTTTTCGGTTTTTTAATTAATTTTTTTTTTAGACTAGGTTTAATAATGTTATTTCATCATAAAAGCATTTCATAGTAAACCGTACGACTTTAATATTCCTGATAAAAGTGAGTACTGATATTTAGGTTATTATGTAATATTTTATTAACTATTTATCATATTAGTTGATGATTTTAATTTAAGTGATAAAACCTCATCCAAAACAATCAGTCTTTTTAAAGGTAATATTTAATACTTAAAAAATAACATCAATAATTTTTTTTCTTTTTTTTTTAACAATTAGACAGTACTAAAAAATTACGAATAAATTCAATTTATGGTAAGTAGAATTTTATACTATAGTTAAGCTATTTTTTCGATATTAAATAGAAAGTTTTTAATATAAAGGGAATGCACTGCATCAAAAGAAGTATAACATTGAAATTGACGGTAAGTAGAATCATTATAAATTCATATTCATATTTTAATCCTTTATTTTATAGATGACGAGAATGAATCATATAATAGTTCAAATCTTCATTCGGAAGAACAGGATGAATTTAAATTCCTGACGGTAAATGATTCGTTTTTAAAATATTTTGTCTCTTATAACAAATTTAATGATTTTGATTTATTATTAGATGGATTTTAACAGCTTTTTTAATAATTTATTGTATATATTCATGATACTAGTGAAGTGAAGTAATATATTTCATAATTTAGAAATAATTTTTATTAAAGGAGAAAGCGATTATATTTTGACAACTTTTATAGAGATAAAGAACGAATTAAAAGTCTATTACACAAAACTTCCAGTCTATTATTTTATTCAATAATTTATTTTTATGTTTAACAGCATTTTATTAATATTACGTAATTACATAATAATTACAAAGAAAATTTTTTATTAAAATAAATTTTATTACGAAATTATAAAAAAAATGTTTTTTTATTTTTATTACAACTTTACCAATACTTAATAAATCGGTGGATTCATCGAAAAAATGTCGTGTACTATTTTTTTTTTTTTTTGATAATTTTCGATAATATTCACCATTTATTCAATAGTATACTACGACTTCGAAATATGTTTCTTAGATAAATTCAACATCATGCTACGAGCTCGTCCGAAACCACTTTGTCACGTGTTGGATACTAAATTATCGTGATTTGTTAACGATCACTTAACTGCTTGGTAACAAATCACAGGTTTCTGCAAAGTTTTTTGTCTTGGAAGAGGACCTTATTTTAAATAGGAGAACATAAATATTCAGCATTCTCAAATGGAAGGCGCTTTTGAATTTTTTGTTAACGCTGGTCATTTCTTATTGGTCAATCCGAAGAATTGCCAATATGAGGACTCGGTTAGCAAAAGCCGTCTATTGCTAGCCGCATCCTCATATATATACTATATTTTATATAAACGTAAAGAACTGGATGAAAAAATAGTTATAATATAAAGAATACTTTTTTCAATAGGTAAAGGCATTTGATTGTTATTTAATTGAATTATTTACAAACCATTAACAACTTTTCATAAATATGCAATCGACGCTGAAAAGGAGAACCTAATAAGAAAAAAAAAGTAATGCAATCAAATCCGAAAAAAAAAAGCATAATGATTAAAGGAACCAACTAAAAAGAAATTTACTTTCAAAGTTATCGCACTCGGAAAAGGAGAGGAACCTAAAAAGCAAAAAAAAAGTTGGCGTTCAAAAAAATGTGCCACCATAAAAAAAATCGATTCTAAATCCTTCAGTTGACTAGTAAGTAAATTCTTGCTACATTTCCGTTAATGTAAGATTTGATCCCAAAACAAAGCCAGTTTTTAAGTACTTCAATCCGATGTGGATAATACTTTCAGTTATAATTTCTCTACAACCATGTAATTTCTTTTCATCCTTGCAAATCACTACACTATATATATATTTTGGGTTCTCAAATCTTGTTCTAACGAAAAACCTCTTGTAATTTTAGAAAATTTATTTTCTTTTTTAAAATGTATTTAAAGAATTTATTTAAATTTCATGGGAAATAAGATTTTTTATTCTATATAGTGAAATTTAAGGTTGCGAGACCTAAGTAATCCAAGAATCAGATAAAACACATAAGATATAATATTGGAGCTTAGAAATAATTGCAACAGAAGTTCTTGTAAAGTTTATTCAAAACAATTCGGAGATACAGAAATGATTGGTTTCATGCACAATTCATTTTTGGTTTTGATATTTTCGATTCTGAAATTACACTCTTAAACAAACATAGGTAGACTTTTTTTAGAATTCTGACAAAACTAAATATTGTAAAATATAAATTAGGTAGGTACTCAAGCTGCAACGACGAGGATGTCAATATTATTGCAACCCAAAATTTTCAGGTAACAATTTAAATTTAACTAAATTTTTATTTTGTTTTTATAACAGTTGCCTAGCCATTTCATGGAATCAATAACTGAACATTTGGAGTATATTATTTCACATTCATGCTTGTGATTATATTTGGGGTTAAGTATCTGTTATAATCCAATGGAGAAATATTTGGAATTAATCGCTTGTCTTTTCATGAGAATGGGTTATAATAATTTTGATTCCTAAGCTTACATTCTTTAATTATTTATCGCTTCTTGAATAACTATATTAACTATAATAACTCTACATAATAAATCTTAACTAATAAATTACTAATAGAATAAATATAAATAATAAATCAGAGATGAACACTTCGTTATACACCAAATGGTCTTCGAATAAGAAGAATAAGTCCAGCGCAATAAAATTAAATAGTCCTTTAATTTCTTCATTTTTCACAAAAGAAAATGGAAGTCCGTTTGAAATTACAAACCATTTGCTAACCAATTAAGCCTTTTGATACTATTAATTTAGAAAGTCTCCTTCGTTTTACCAACTTGAGAGAAGAATCATCATCAACTAATTTTTTAAAATTATTTTTAATAAATTAAATATATTATTTATTTAATTATATACGAATAAATTCCATATATTTTTCCTAAGGTAACGGTAAACTAAAGTGCTTCCTTTACTACAGAAAGGAATTCTTGAAATTTTCACACTTAGCCAAATGTCATACTTCTGTATCTACTTAGATTTAATATAAATTTTGTACACGGACACAAAAATTGAGTCTTTTGTTACATACTAAAATACAAATGTTGTATAATAATTTTGACGGAGGCTAAGCTAAAACCAGTATGTTACACAGCAAACAAGCCCGCGCACATTTTATGATCAGATTGATATTACTTAGTTATCACAATCGCCGAAAAGTTCCGAGTTGATGTCGATCAATATTTGGTGAGACAAGAAGCGGTTAGCCTAGGCTATTTATGGTTAAAATTTTAAAACCGAGGAACAAGAAAAGCAATAAAACTCATTGAAATAATCCATCCGAACAATTTAAATTAAAAATCCAAACAAGAAAAAAAAAAAATGGATTTAATGGATAATTTTGAAAAACGTTAAAAGACTTGGAAACGAGGATTAAGGAATTAGAGTAAAGTAGCGAAGGGTTACGTTCGTTCGCAATTCAAATATTTGGAAGAAAAAGTTAAAGAGCGAGAAGAAACTAAAGCAAATATTAATAATTTAGGAGAAAAGGTTAGAGAAGAATCCAAAGCCAAGCAAGAAATTATTAATAATTTAAAAGAAAAGGTTAGAGAACGAGAGTAGTGTCCAAAGAAAAGCAAGAAATTATCAATGTAATAGAAAAGAGAATCAGAATTCTTGAATTCACTATTTTTGATTCTATTTAAAGTATAACCATTACATATGAAAATAAGGATGACATTGAATTTCTTTGGCGGATTGCAAAGATATCGAAAATTGACAAAACTCAAATTTAACGATTCTCGAATAACAAGCTTACCAATATTACCTGACACCTTAACGGAACACGATTGCAATGATACTCAAATAACAAGCTTACCAACATTACCTAACTCTTTAACGATACTCGATTGCAATGGAACTGAAATAACAAGCTTACCAACGTTACCAGACTCCTTAACGGAACTCCGTTGCAATAGAACTGAAATAACGAGCTTACCAAACATTACCTAACTCCTTAACGAATCTTTATTGCTCTTTTACTCCCATTACAAGCTTACCAACATTACCCGACTCCTTAACGAAACTCTATTGCAATGAAATTCTAATAACAAACTTACCAAATTTATCTAGCTCCTTAGTTGTATTTCAATGATAAATCATACATATTCTACCAACTTGATAAAATTTAGCAATTGATTCAAAAATTTATTTATTATTTCTATCGAGGCATCATGAATTATTTGTTTCACAACCAATTTATATTCAGTTGTTTAGACTTAGACCTAGGAATAGATATTTGAGATTTAATTCAAAGAACTAGCAACACAACCAAATCAATTTTATTTAGATTTTACTCTTCTTTGTTGGGTGTGATCATTTGATCAACGTGAATTAAAATGACCATTGTTTGGAACTTGACTAATAAATAATTAAATCTTCACCATTCTTTAAAAAAAAATAAAAGTTAAATTTATACCGTGATACGAATAATTCTTTCATGTACGGTTAACGAATCGTTCAACCAAGTTTCGCTCAATACCATTGATGTGTAATATTTTAAAATTAAAAGTTCGTAATAAGCATGTTGAAATTTTGTTTCCGAAAATAATTCTCCTGGTTATATCGAGAATAAAAAAGAATACAAAATTAGTTGTTCTTTTTTTTCTCTTTTGTATTTAAAATGCTGATAAAATGTTTCTTGCGCTCTTCAGTTTTATTTTATTTTATTTTTATTTTTATTCTTGTTATATCTTTCGGGCTAATTATTCTTTTTTTTTTTGCTTTAATAGTTTCTAGTTGCGAGCATGTGACCTACCGTCCGTTTGTTCATTCTCTAGAAAAGTATTACCTCAGTACTGGTCCTTTCTTTTCCGTTTACAACGTTGATTCCTTAAAGTTGCTTTTTAATTTTGATCAGCTTATATAGTTTTATTAAAAATATATATATATATATATATATATCAAAAATAATTAATTACAATTTCATTTATGCAATGAAACTCGAAATTAAGAATCATATATTTAAAGATACACGTTAATCTCTATTTTTTTATAAAATAATATGAGTTCGGAAGGAATTGATTAAAGTTTATCGCGTGAATCGACTTTTCTACAAACATCATATGCCACATCCACAAACAATCAAAGAAGCATTCAAAGCGTGTTCAAGGTTAATTATCCAAGAACATAATAAGATTCAATTAAATAATTTATGGTGAATTCATTAAGTGAGGACATGTCAAAGTACTGGATAGATGTTCCATCAAAGACACTTACAAAGAACTCGATATAATAAAAGTTGCAAACGGAATGATTAAAAGTTTGGATCAGAATTATAAGACAACTTATGTCGTATAGAGAACTGACCTTGCATATGCGCGCGGGAATTTCTGTCATTGTAGAAACATTAAGCTATTAATTACATCATAAAAATTTCTTAAATATCTTGGGATTTTTCATTATTATATACAATTTATTTTTATTTATTACATAAAAATAATTGTAACCAATTATACGACGACAATTATACACTCATATGATAAGACCAAAAGAGCAAAAAGGAATATAGTAAATAAATAACTTACACATTACATTCACTGCAGCCAGATCATTGCGATGGAGGTAACTCCAAGAAGGAGAGTGCAGAAAGCGAGAAGCTGCCCAGCTTATGAACTTTTAAAGCTTCAAAAGAATTTACTCTGAATAGACATACAGTGTGTAATGAAAAAAATGGCGGTGACAAAAAGCAATATATCTCAAAAACTACCTATCCGATTTGAATGAAT